ATCTTTCCATTCCATGAGCATGTGAGATGATTTAATCTTTTGATATCTTCTTCAGTGTATTTCCTCAAAGACTTGAAGTTCTTGTCATAGAGGTCTTTTAGTTGATTGGTTAGAGTCACACCAAGATATATTATATTATTTGAGGATAATGTAAAAGGTATTCATTCTCTGATTACTTTCTCAGGCCTTTTATCATTTGTATATAGTAGCAATGATTTTTTTCTTGTTATTGTTGTTAATTTTATATCCAGCCACTTGACCAAAGGTGTTTTCAGATGTAGAATTTACCTGGCAGAGTTTTTATGGTTGCTTATGAATTCTAGGGTATCATATATAAATAATGATGCTTTGACTTCTTCCTTTCTAATTTGTAACTTCTTGGTTCCCTTTAGTTGCCTTATTGCTCTAGGTAGAATGTCAAATACTATATTAAACATGTATGGAGAGAGTTAATGATCTTTTCCTGTTCTTGATTTTAGTCAATGTGCCTTGAGTTTCTCTCCATTTAATTTGATGTTGGCAATCAAATGATGATGCCTGTATATTGCTTTTATTAAGTTTTGGTATGTCCCTTGTATCCTTGATCTCTCTAGGACTTATCATGAAGGTATTGAATTTTAAAAGGATTTTTAGCATCTATCAAGATGGTTATGTTTTTCTTTATTTATTTATAATAGATTTAGATTGACAGATTTTCATTTCTGGTATAAGTCTACTTGTTCGGTCTTCAGAAGAGATGCATGTACAAATTAAAATGTCTTATAAACATAATATTTCTTGGATGATATGGGCAAATCTCTACCAGATACATCATATTAAACTATACAAATACAGCACCAGTAAATTTTTGTTGGCTTTATTTTTATAAAATATGATTACTAGTTGTTTTCATTAAGTAACCTCAAATCATAGAAAATAGTTTATTTTTTGGCAATTAGGCACTATTTTGGGTAATAAATAAAATTTGAAGCTACATAATAAATATGAGCATAATGATAAAATGTGATGAATGACTGTGATGAGGGCAGGTTTGGCATATGCAGGCTGGGTCCCTGAACTCAGGACTTCTCACTGTGTAGTATTCAACCAACGGCACGATCCATCCAGAAAACATGATGTTCTTGATTTACAGAAAACACTTTTGCTCTTAAAACCATGGAAAATTATCACAGAAAGATTATTATTGATTTATATTATTGGCTGATAAACATCACCATTTTCAGTTTTCCACTCCCAAAAAAAATAAATAAATAAATAAATAAATAAAATTCATTTACCAGAGAAGACTAAAAAAGGTGGCTGTCCTGTTTATGTTTGTGATATCAGTTGAGATTGTTGATGGCTATTTACTCTGGTGTTCTAAGGCATTTTATAGTTTTATTGTTTCTGTGGTTTAGACACAGTTTCCCTATGTACTTCAGGCTTACCTTGAACACACTGCCTCTGCTTCTTGATGGCTGTTTGATTACATGTCTGAATATTTGTCTATTGTGTGTTATTACAGATGTGTTATTAAATGACTTAACAATAGAAAGATTCAACAAATAAAATTATAAGACAGCAGTGAGAGACATCTCTATCATAACCCTGAAGATTAGGCAATTTCTCCACTTGTCTATGGGTAAGAAGAATCCTGATAACCAGGAGAGACCACACTTCAAATAGAAAAATTTAGGAAGTTCAACAGAAATCAAAACAGTAAAGTCAAGAGGGCTGACAGACATGGAGGACCAAACAGTGGAGAGAAATTTGAAGTAGTCTGAAAGTATAATCCTGGTACTTTTTTTCAGGAAAACAGAAAATTGTGATCTCAGAGGAAGACTGATGATAAATCACTGTCAGTCTTAATTCTAGGAGAATTAAAGAATTCTAAACATAAAACCCAATACAGTTTTTGTGTATATAAATGACTTTTCTTGCATGGCAGGCTACTTTTGAGAGAAAGAGATCTATTGCTTTGATTCCATTAACTCAAAGTGCTGCATCAAGTAATATGCTTCAGAGAGAGACTCTTGCATGAGATAAAGCTACACCTGGGACAGAGATCCAAGACAGAATCACGAGTTAGCTAAAGAACACAATGTCACAGGCTCTGGATGAGAGATGGACACCAGATGCATTGTAGCAGGGAGGAGTAAGAAACATACCTCTTGGGAAGCTGAAGCACTAGAGAATTCAGGCTTCCAGTAGCTTTACACTCTGTCAAAAGGAGTGGTCTCATCACCTCTGAATTCTTGCAGAAACTTTAGGGTCCAGGTCAATCAACTGCTGATTTCTCAACATTGAGAGTTTCTCACCTGCCATATTTGACTTGTTGCTACAAGGGGAACAAAGAACATTAAGTCTATATCTAACAAAAACCCTTTTTTTATAATCCCCCTTCCTGAGGGTGGTTTTTGTTTTTGTTTTTATCCCCAAATGAGATATGAAATCTCTGAGATCAGTGAACATTGAGCTACTGGATTCTCTTGTGTATCCTTTTCCAATATAAACATCAGTAAATCAGTTGCTTCCTCTACTCCCTGAAGCACATGCATCATCATAGGCTTCAGTGTGGATGTTTGTTGCTGTGCTTGTACAACGTGAAGGGACCAATGGAGCAAATAAGTGTCCCAAGGGTTAAAGAGGTCAGTGAAGTCTTAAGAAGAGAAAGTCATAAAAACCAAGGCAAAAAATGATACCCCAGAAATCTGAAATGCCTTAAAACAATAAGTCTAAAAAAACTCAAATTGCTGAAATGAAAAGAACAAACAAACAAACAAAAGCAAAATCAAACCAAATAGAAGCTCTCTGTTAATAATAATCACAGTGATTTAAAAGATGGAACAACAGAAGTTAATTTAAGACTTGGAAGAGAAATTCAGGTATTTACAATGAATTCAACAAAGTAAAGTTAGAACTCTCTTTTTTTTTAAATTAAATCTGTGCAGAAATCATGAAAATTCAATCCTTAAAAAACAGAGTCTAATGGAGTTCTTAACCAGCAGCCTCAAAAGATGGAAGAAAGATGACCATTTATTAAAGGAAGCTGCAGAAGTATCCCAACTGGAAAACAGTAAAAAGACAATCCATGAACTTCAGAACCTGCTGAATCTGTGATATTTGGAAAATAAGAGAGAGGTAAAGTTTAGCATAATGGGCTCCACATCTAGGGAAGGAAATGGCTAACCAAGAACCTGACATATTTAGTATACTAATAGTTATACATGTTTGTATTTATACATGTTTATATTTCACAGAATTTAAAATGTCTAGATTATATAATAAGGTATTTATACTAAAATCTCCTCTTAAATAAGTACCGTAGTTTACAAACCCAATTCTATTAAAACAATAACAGAAATCTAAGCAAAACTCAAAAAACTTATTGAAATTATTCCTCATGATATTCTGATAAGCTCATAGACGCCTTGTACAGTCATCATCTGAGAAGCTTCCTCCAGGGGCAGAGGGAGATGGTGCAGAGACCCAGATCCAGACTCTATGTAGATAGTGAGAGTCTATATTGGAGATCTCCAGCGGTCTTTCCCCTTAGGAATGGAGAATCCAGCTGAAGAGGGGACAGAGAGACTATAGGTGTCAGAGGGGATGAAGGAAACCAGGAGGATAGGGACCACTGAATCAACTATGCATGGCTTACTTGCCCTCACAGAGACTGAAATGGCAAGCACCATGCCTTCATGGGTCTGTAACTGGTCCTCTTCATTGGATATTAGCTTTGTTGTGAAAAATAAATCAGGAAACAAATTAATTCACAGTAGCCTTAAAAGAAATTAAATGCTCAGGAATGAACTTAGTAAAAGTTGAGAAAGATCACACACACACACACACACACACACACACACACACACACACACACAGTTGAAAAGTAAAGAGCCATTAACTGATACGACACTAGACTTAACTAAGAGATCTTGAAGATGCTGAAGGAGATTTGAGCTTCTGTAATAAAATTGAAATAGAGGACAGAACACTCCTGATGAAAAGCCAAGGCACAGAGTATTATTTAATACAAGAAGTTAGTCAGTCAACCAAAATTGCCTTTTCAATGTTCTGTCTGAGGCTACCACTGTAAAGACCTGAAATGACTGTGTCATCATGCAAAAATAATCACTGACAAGGCAATTGGGAGCTGCAAAGTATTTGCTTTTGTAGACTTTGATAATAGAGAAAACAAACTGCGAAAGGAGACCATAATAAATGGAGGAAAGGCTAAAAGCATAGGTACTGTAGACTGGAAAAGCCTAAGCACTGCTTTAATTCAGTGATGGAGACAGAGGAGGCCCTGGAGTCCCAGGCTCCAGGCACAGAGAAAGAGGAGGTTTTACTGGCAGAAGATGGAAAGGTTGTATGTCAAAGGGGCAAAAGAAGAGGTGGTTTCTATGGTTTCTTTCTGTCTCTTCCTTTTTCAATCTCAGAGAAAGGACTCAGGTTTTTCTACGTTACCTCTTTCATAGCAGAACCTTTTGATGACATTTAAGATTGTATATAGCACTGCAGTCTAATTATAATCCACCTAGGTAATACTTCAAAGAGAGATATACTGCTGAATTTAAATGGATGTGCCTATGAAGTTCAAACATACAGGCCTATAAATGTCTATGATAGACTAGATGTTTCTTTTTCTTGATACATCTCATTTCTTTATGTGTTCAACCCTACGTATGTAATAGTCTCTTCAGTCTACAACAGTATTCACACTATACTTACTTGCACATAAACAGACATACATAGGATGTACATTCATTATTTTAAACGTTGCTTAAAGATAATTTTTTGCAGTAACTACCATATTTATATTGTGCATATATTAATAAGACACAACAAAACACCATTAAACATGATCTTAGTATATTCGTAACATATTTTATCCTTTATGCATTGTAGAAAATTGCCATTATTTGGTTTAAAAAAAATTAGGTTGCATCTTTCCTTTGCTTGTTCTTTTGTTTCTTTACACTCTTTCAAAAACTAAATGTAATTTTTTTTTTCCATTTAAGCTTGGGCCAGGTAGTACTTCCCCTGAGCTTCTGAATGCAGTGCTCCCAGAGGATGCTGGTGGGAAGAGAAGGTAGAGAAATTTCACAGCCCTGAACTGCTCTGCTAGTAGTTCTAGGAAAACTACTGGAAATGCCTGCTGTGAGGTTCCTGATTCAATGACGACAAAGGTGCTGAGTCTCAGGAGACATGCCTCAGATCAGGGTAGTGAGGTGATGATCATAACTCCTGCAGAACTCATTGAGAGGATAGCACAGGCATGAGTACATGTAGAGTTTGCCCCTGAGCTGCTGGAAAGCAATTCTGAAATTGTTGCATGTGGCATCAAAGAGCAAGAACATAGCAGGAAATCACAAAAGAGACAAAAGCTGCCTTGATCTCCATCATAATGGTCATGGAGTCTACCCACTGACACCATAACCAAGCCCCTATTAAATAACTTCTTTTCTTAAAAATATGAAGGAAATGGAGCGATAATCTTCATTTTACCTTGTATTATATTTTATAGATCCACCAGTGACAGTTAAGTTTCATTGCATAAAAATTTCAATAAGCATGATAGGTATATTAAAATGAATGGATTATCACAGTAAATGTAATTACCACCTCATATCTAATAAAGAAAAATTCTTTTCAAAATTAAAAATTAATGGAATGTCTCTATCCCAATATAATTAGTCCTTGGCTTCATAAAATGTTATAGATAAAACACAATATGTGAAAGAATTATTATTATTAAATTTATAAAATATTAATGACATATATTCAGAAATTAATATTATAGACACATAATTTAATGATAGGTTATATTTATACATGCTTTGTATTGTACATGCTATGATTCTGGTGATTATTGTGTCAGCCTGATATTTTTGATATAACTTAGTGTCTACATAATTCTGAATATTATTTGACATCAGTTTTTGCCTTTTGTCTGCTATATCTATAAAGATATCAAATAAAATAATGCATTTTCATGTATATTATATTTAGCTATATAGATATAGATATTTCTAAATCATAAACTTTTTTATGCATTTTATAACAGTTTTTACTAGCAATAGTCCACATATATTATTGCCAGGGATAGGGAAGAAAATGTCAATAGTGGAAACTAGACATAAGATATAATGAACATTTCCCTAATTCTCAACATTTCGAAAGTCTAATACTGTCTTAATTATATACACAAAATAATTTGTCTAATTGAAGATAACAGGATAAAATTTTTAAATAAATAGACTATTTGAAAATACACAAAGATCAATAAATTTCTCCAATTGTTCTCTCTCTCTCTCTCTCTATATATATATATATCCAAACATCTAGTGTTTAGAATTAAATCCCATCTCCCTAATGGTTACTATATATTAAAGACAAGATGCTAATTGGACTTGAAATAAATGCTGATGAATTATGGTGATACCTTTGAAGATATTGTCTCTTTCTTTAAAAATGATCATGATATTACTAAAGAAAGCTGCTGTATAACATTTGTTCCCAATGATTAAATTTGAGATTCTGGGAAAGAAGTCAGTCTTGCATAACCATCTTCAATCATATATCGTATCCATATCAATATTTAATTACTTGTACAATCATTAGCAGTAGTAACACATGCTGCTGTTTAACATTATTCAGTGAAATTCGTGTATTTGGAATGCACTTAATCCAGCAATAAAATATTTCAAAATAATTGTGTCTAATGGTATCAAATTATGAGGTAGCAAAATCTCCATTCCCCTTACAACTTGATGCAATTGATTCTAATTCAGGGTAGCAGGAAATAATCTCATTGTCAAGGTTTAAGTTTCCAAGTTCACAATGCAAAAATTTTAATAAGTTCTCAGATTATTCACCCTCGAATTTCTCTAAATAAAACATCAAAAATGACAAAAATAATCTAATTTACAGAAATGGATAGTAGAATTTTACTATGAAGGGAGAAATGGAAGAAAGTGTTGTCATCATCCAGCTGAAGTCATCAGAGGTTGATACTGTGGGGAGAAGGGAGGAGAGATAAACAACATTAAAAATGATTTGAAAAACCACAGGGCAACACTTTTGTTTTATATTTACTTAAAGATATACACACACACATATATATGTGAGCCTGTGTATACACACATAAGTAAATTAATAAAGTTACAATATTAGGAATGATAACGCTCTGCATTAAGAGCTGGGTAATATCTAACTTAAACCTTAGAGAACTACATGGAAAATCTCCGTTCACATAATTGTTCAGAGAAATCCAAGCAAATTCCAAAATAAAACAGGCTATTGCCATTTTCTTTGGTGGCCTCACTGGTGGCTTGTTGATGAGACTCTACTGCTGAAGATGCCACAATCTCTGGGCACAGAGCTTAAGGAATCCACCGGTAACTGTTCTCTCTTGGCATATGAAGTTGCTAATGAAATTAAAAGTTATAAACCACAACAATGACCAACCTGGCAAGGTTGTGGCACTTATATAACCAGGGTTATCCAACAGCTATCTAATTGTACTTAAGGCCCATGAAATACAGGAGGATTCAGGACTAGTACTCTAAACATAGAAAACCACACATTGTCCTGTCCTTGGGATTCTGACAGGTTATATCCTCAACTATATATGTACCATCCATGCATATTCACTATGTTCTCTTTTAAAAGGGACCTGCCCACTTCCCAACTTCCCATCCTCTCTTTCTTTCTCTCTTTCTTTCTCCCTTTCTTTTTTCTTTCTTTCTTCCTTCTTTCCTTCCTTTCTCTCTGTCTCTGTCTGTTCTCCTCTCTCTCTCCTCTCTCTCTCCTTTCTCCTCTCTCCTGATGTTTCTGTTTCCAGAGGTCAGTTTCCCCCTTCTCATTTTTCCATTTTTTATGATCCCTTTCCCCTCAGCTTAAATTCTGTCACATGGCATCTTTCACTAGTGAGTTGCTTTCCTTGAATTATAACATTCATTACGAATGTACTTCCTCAGGCATTCTTAAACCAGTATACTTTCCAATACGTACTAAATAATCTCAGATGATTGTTTGCAACAGAGACCATCATAGAAACTTAAAATTAGGGAACAACAAACAAAATTGATATATCTGCAGCATAACCACTATACATAAAGCTAAGGGGTAATTATTTAAGAGTGTCCAAAACGTGTTTAAGGGCCAGAAGATAATGTTTGCCATAGATGATGTTTTCTGCATACAAAAGGGAGTTGCACTTGTAAAATATTAACAAATGATCATAAACAAGACCAGAAAAACGAAACCACCATTTCACATACCTATGTGGATTGCAGGAATCCTTGATAAAGAGCTACATTATTTAATAACTGGTAAATAGGAAAATTAGTCTACTCCATGAACAAACCCCCTGATAGGTTATCCAGTTCCAAGTATTCATCTTTTAAGTTAGATACATATGAGAAACACAATAGTACTCAACACATTGAATTTATATATACATATGTTTGTATACACAACATAGTAATAAGGAAGAAAGACGGGACACAGGAGCATTTGAAAGAGGTAGACTGTTTTAGAAATGAAGAAACTACATAATCCATATGTGAAACTCTCAAACAATGAAATAAATATTTAAAAAACTTGTCTTATTTGGGTATTTCATTAAAGAACAAAATTTACAACTGTTTGAAAACACCAGTAATAAATTTTTAACTATGTATTAAAGGCCAAAATGCTTTTATGTACTTCTATCTTAAAAACATACAACATCTTCAATGAAGAATAAATTTCTGATCTAAAAGTGTAGTGAATTATGAAAATTCTATATTATGCAAGGGGTTTGCAATAATGATAAGTCACCACACTGTTTAAGCATTGAGGCAGAAATGCAGTGATTTCTCTTTTATGATGAAGTATTTGTAATAGGATGGACTGGACTATATTATTCCAATAAATATATTAAATATCATATTAATATTAGTTCTATTGTGGAACAGAAACAATATATGTTATTTTATTTATGAGTAATTAAATTAGTATATGTCCTTTAAAGACAAAACATGTTGGAAAATTATAATTTTTTACAATTTTTTAAATTTAAATTTGAAACAAGCGTACTTTATATTACAATCCCAGTTCCTGCACCCTCCTGTCCTCTCCTGTCCCCTACAACCTCTATCCCATTCCCTTTCTGCTCCCCAGGGAGGGTGAGGCCTTCCATGGGGAGTCATAAAAGTCTGTCATATCATTTGGAGCAGGTCCCAAAATAATATAGTTTGCAGTTCCCTAAATATTGAATGAATACATTTGGATTCTTATTACTACACTACCACTATTATATCATAATATTGCTTTAAAATATAAACAAGCACATTTTAAAAATTCTGGTAATGTTTGGTTTTTAATGCCTTGTATCTTCTACCAAGAGCTTGTGTTAATTTTTTAATGTGTTTTATAAAACACACTTCCCTGCATAAACTAAAAATGTATCTGCTGAATATGAAAAAAATAATTAGCATAGCTCTTCTTGTCTAAATTGATGTTTCTGTGTCATTCTCTTTCTCTGCACCTTATTGTCTCTAACATATATCTGTCATTTGCCACTCAAGCTAAAATTCACAGAGGAAACGATGACTTGTTTCTTGAAATCTAGAAAATAGTTTATGCCTTGGGAGCAATTTTCATTTGTAGCCTTATGAGCTAATATAAGATGTCTTCCAATAAGTGGACCATGTTTAGATTAATTAGCTGATAGTGATGGTGGTAAAATGAATCATACATCACAGTGTCTGAAGAATAAACTTATATTATTTATTGTAAAAGAATATTCATGTAATCTGATACTATTATGAACATTCCTTAGACTGGTGCTGTGATTTATAGAAGGACAAATTCATTATCCCAATCTCAAAGGAAATTCTTCTCTTTCTCAAGCCCTGATATCTCAGAACGGTGGCATGGTTACTGTTGCCTGACAGCATAAATGGGCAGAGAGCCACTTAGGAGACAGAAAAGTGTATAGAAAAGTGTCTTGGCATGTCTATGTTTTTTTTTTTTTTGTTTTGTTTTTTTGTTTTTTTTTTTTTTTAGAGAAGACTAACTGAATGAGTAGACCTACTCTTAATAATGC